GGGGTGGATGGGGATAGATAGATAGATAGATAGATAGATAGATAGATAGATGGGGTGGATGGGGATAGATAGATAGATAGATAGATAGATAGATAGATAGATGGGGTGGATGGGGATAGATAGATAGATAGATAGATAGATAGATAGATAGATAGATAGATAGATAGATGGGGTGGATGGGGATAGATAGATAGATAGATAGATAGATAGATAGATAGATAGATAGATAGATAGATAGATAGATAGATAGATGGGGTGGATGGGGATAGATAGATAGATAGATGGGGTGGATGGGGATAGATAGATAGATAGATGGGGTGGATGGGGATAGATAGATAGATAGATAGATAGATAGATAGATAGATAGATAGATGGGGTGGATGGGGATAGATAGATAGATAGATAGATAGATAGATAGATGGGGTGGATGGGGATGGATAGATAGATAGATAGATAGATAGATAGATAGATAGATAGATAGATAGATAGATGGGGTGGATGGGGATAGATAGATAGATAGATAGATAGATAGATAGATAGATGGGGTGGATGGGGAGCGAGAGAGAGAGAGAGAGAGATGGGGGTGTATGGGGTTACACTGACAGATGGACGACGGGTGTGGACGGGTGTGAACGGGGACAGGTAGATGGGGTGTGTGGGGATAGATATACAGAGTGTATAGGGATGGATATATAGAGAGACGTTGTGTGGGGATAGATATACAGAGTGTATAGGGATGGATATATAGAGAGACATGTTGTGTGGGGATAGATATACAGAGTGTATAGGGATGGATTTATAGAGAGACATGTTGTGTGGGGATCCATTTCAGTAATGCCCAGCCGGAATTGCTGTAACTGTCCAGTCCCCTTGTGCATATGGCAGAACCCTCTGTCTCATGAGATCCAGGGGCAGAGAGTTCAGCAGGCTCGCCGGGCCAGGGGGCAAAGAGCAGCTTTCAACATGGCACCTTCCTGCTATGCTGAACGTCCCTGAGCTCTGGGGAACAAATGGCGGGAAGGAAGTAACTTGTGAGACACAGCAAGAGCCCATAGATCGGATAGAGACGAAGGCCAGATGGGCTCAGGACAGGCCAGAGAATGGCTCCAAATCAATTCCTGGTTGAACCAGAGCAGATCTTTCAGAAAAAAACATCCCGTCTTGATAGAAAAGTTGCCAGTGACGGAGAATCCACCCAGCCCTTGGGAAGTCATCCCTTAATTCCCTGCATGGTTAAAAATGTTCCCGGTTTGAATTTATCTGGTGCCAGCGTCCAGCCACTGGAGTGCGGTACACATTGGTCTGCCCGGGCGGGTACTTACTGGATCACAGAGTCCTGCCTCCCACCATCCTTACTCTGAGCACAATCTCCCACCTCCCCCGCTCTAACCAGCAGACCCCACTCCCCTCCCAGAGCTGGGGCCAGAATCTGGAAGTCCCACGCTGTAACCCAGTCTCTCCATAGGCACGCTCAGCTCTGTGAACAGGCTGCCAGGCTTCCCGACAGGTTAGAAGTCTCGGCAGCTGGCCGGGGCCTGTTTAGCCCAAGAGAAACTGACGGATTCAAGCCAGCTCGGCGGATCAGAGGAACATCAGGAGTTTTGAAGGCACGGGCCAGCTGGACTGGTTGTGGGAGGTGGGCAAACCGCCTTCATGCATGGTGTCCCATCCCTGCCCATCCTGGCTAATAGCCATTCATGGATCTATCCTACAGGAACTTCTCTAGTTCTTTTTTGAACCCTGTTCTAGTCTTAGCCTTCACAACATCCCCTGGCGAGGAGTTCCACAGGTGTGGAAGGAATACTTCCTGTTTGTTTGAAACCTGCTGCCTATTCATTTCACTGGGTGATGCCTAGTGCTTGTGTTATAAGAAGGAGTAAATAACACTTCCTTATTTACTTTCTCCACACCAGTCATGATTTTATCATATTCCCCTTTAGTCGCCTCTTTTCCAAGCTGAAACGTCCCAGTCTTATTAATCTCTCCTTATACGGAAGCCGGTCCAGACCCCTCATCACTTTTGCTGCCCTTTTCTGAACCTTTTCCAGTTCCAACAGATCTTTTTTGAGCTGGGGCGACCACATCTGCACGCAGTGTTCAAGGTGTGGGCGTCCCATGGATTTATACAGAGGCGACAGGATATTTTCTGTCCCTTTCCTTATGGTTTCTAATATTGTTTGCTTTTTTCGACTGCCGCTGCACACAGAGTGGATGTTTTCAGAGAATTATCCACAATGACACTGAGATCTCTCTCTTGCATGGTAACAGCTGAGTTAGACCCCATCATTTTATAGGACTATGTTTTCCAACGTGCATTACTTTGCATTGATCAACACTGAATTTCATCTGCCATTCATTTGCCCAGTCACCCGGTTTGGGGAGATCCTTTGGTCTGCTTTGGACTTGACTCATGATCCATTTATGCCTCATCTGGGAACGAAGGTCTCCGAGGCTGGTTAGAAGAGTTTGTTCGTTGGCCAAACCCTGTCTACGCCGGGGTTTAGGCCCGGTTAGCTACTAGCCCAGACATGCAGGCGTGTGTCTGTGAATAGGTGGATATGTCTGTGCGTGATGCGCCGGGGGGGAGCTGCTAGCCTGGGCTTTCCTCCCCGCTGGCCCCCGTGAGAAAGTTCTCGTCTCGCTGTTCTTTGAGCTGGGGGCCCTCCTGCCACCGGGACTCACACCTCAGGTTTACGACACTGGGAAGTCCAGCCCGCTGCAGGTTCCCACGAGACACAAGCTGCCCTGGGGGCGCAATAAATAGCTCAGACCTGCTGACAACCCCCCGCCCCACACACACACTTGAGTCAGTGGGGGGCATTGCTTCTGCCCCACAGTGAAGGGACCCCGTTGGCTTCAGGGAGTTGCTCCTGGTTTGCACCAGGGTGAGACAGAGGGGAATCGGCCACTTGACCCCAATGGGGTTACTCCTGATTTACACCAGGGTGAGAGAGAGGGGAATTGGCCCCCTTGATCCCAAAGGACCACGCTGACTCAGTAATGTGATGGGATAAGATCTCAGCCGTACCCTGGGCAACATGTACCAGCCCAACCCACAATCCAGCAAGGGCCAAATCCCAGCCGGTGTCAATGGGCATCTCTCCATTGGAGTCAATGGGGCCAGATCCCAGCCGGTGTCAATGGGCGTCTCTCCATTGGAGTCAATGGGGCCAGATCCCAGCCGGTGTCAATGGGCGTCTCTCCACTGGAGTCAATGGGGCCAGATCCCAGCCGGTGTCAATGGGCGTCTCTCCATTGGAGTCAATGGGGCCAGATCCCGGCCGGTGTCAATGGGCGTCTCTCCATTGGAGTCAATGGGGCCAGATCCCAGCCGGTGTCAATGGGCGTCTCTCCATTGCAGTCAATGGGGCCAGATCCCAGCTGGTGTCAATGGGCGTCTCTCCAATGGAGTCAATGGGGCCAGATCCCAGCCGGTGTCAATGGGCGTCTCTCCATTGGAGTCAATGGGGCCAGATCCCAGCCGGTGTCAATGGGCGTCTCTCCATTGGAGTCAATGGGCTCAGATCCCAGCTGGTGTCAATCAGCCATAGCTCCACTGAGGCAAGATTTACACCAGCCAAGGGTTTGCCCCAAGCATTCCAAGGTTAATTCCAGCCTCCCCATGGAGACTTCCTGACTCATTAGCTTGACAATGGGCCCCCCAACCCCCTCCCGGCACCACGCTCTTGCATATTCGATGCATCTTCCTTCTGTCATGCGTGGGAGGCATGGAATTGTCCCTCCGTTGGGGAGTGGGGCCGTGGGGATTGGTTGGGGATCAGAGACCCAGGATGGGGGATTTGGCCCAACAAAGAGCGTTCCCACAGTAGCCAGTTCACTTGCTTGATTTCAACCCCCTAGTGTGGTAAAATCTGGCTTGCTGGCATAAATCAGGAGTCACTCCAGTATGGTCAATGCGGGACCCCTTCACACACGCTGGTGTAAATCAGGAGTGACACTCATGTAAAATGAGTGTAAACGAGACGTGAGTCTCCGCCCTTGTCAGTGGTTTGGGGGCCTGCTCATGAGAGTCACCCCATTGGTTTCGGGGGGAGGATACCCAGAAGGGAAGAGGAGGAGGGGCTGGGCTGTGGGGTGGCCATGGAGGTTGGGCAGTGGAGTGGGGGGAGACAGGTGCTTAGGGCTGGGGACTGCTGGGTTGTAGGGATGCGTGGGGTGAGGGTGATGGGCATAGGTGTGGGGCAGTGGGGTGTTGGGGAGAGATGAGCATGGGGTTGGGTAATGGGGGGTTGCAGGAAAGTGGGGATCAGGGGCAAGGATGGGTCTGCAACTGGGGTGTCATGGTTGTACAGAAGTTGGGGGTCAGGGCTGTAGGGAAGTGGGAGGGGTATAGAAGTTGGGGATCACAGCTGTAGAGAAGGGAGAGGGGTAGGGAAGTTGGGGGTCAGGGCTGTAGAGAAGTGGATGGAGGGGTAGGGAAGTTGGGGGTCAGGGCTGTAGGGGAGGGGGAGGGAAGTAGGGGGTCACGGCTGTAGAGAAGGGGAGGGGAGGGAAGTGGGGGGGTCAGGCCTGTAGGGAAGTGGGGTGTCAGGGCTGTAGGGGAGGGGGAGAGGTATGGAAGTTGGGGGTCAGGGCTGTAGAGAAGTGGGGGAGGGGTACAGAAGTTGGGGGTTACAGCTGTAGAGAAGGGAGAGGGGTAGGGAATTTGGGGGTCAGGGCTGTAGGGAAGGGGGTGGAGGGGTAGGGAAGTTGGGGGTCAGGGCTGTAGGGCAGGGGGAGGGAAGTGGGGGGTCACGGCTGTAGAGAAGGGGAGGGGAGGGAAGTGGGGGTCAGGCCTGTAGGGAAGGGGGAGCAGGGGCAGGCTGGGGGAGCAGGCTGGGGGGGCTCTCTGCCCCCCACGGGCCGGGCCCCCTCGTGTGCCGCGCCGCGGGGGGGGGGGCCGGGGGCCAGCCACGCTCCGGCGGCGGATCAAAGCCGGGGGCGGCGCCGGCGGGGCCGGGTCTGGGGCGGGGGCCGGCTTATAAAGGGCCCGCCGGGGACCCGCCGCCCCCCCAGCCCGGCCGCCGCCACCATGAGCAGCAGCGCCCAGTGGGACAGCAAACAGGACAAGAAGGTAACTCCGGAGTCCGCTCGCTTCGGGTTTCACTCCGGATCCGGGGCTCCCTGCCCGGATCTCCCCGCTCTTTCGGGGTGTCTCTTTCAAAAGCTGCCCCCCTTCCTTCTCTTTCCCCCTCTCCAGCTCCTGAAGCCCTTGATGGAGAAGCGGCGCCGGGACCGTATGAACCGGAGCCTGGAGCGACTCCGGCTCCTCCTCTTAGAAGCCACCCAGGACGAGGTAAGCCAAATCGGATTTCCTCCTCCCGTTTCCCCGCCGCTGCCCCAAACCGAATGATACAACGCATATTTCTCTTTCTTTCTTCCCCTCCTTCCCCCCGCTTTTTCCTTCCTTCCTTCCCTCCCTCTCCCTCTCTCTCTCTCTCTCTCTCTCTTTTTTGCTGTTGTTCTTGCAGAGACTTAAAAACCCCAAAGTTGAAAAGGCCGAAATTTTACAAAAAACAGTCCACTTTGTGAGGACCCAGCCTCCTGCAGGTATCCCCTTCGGCGCGGCCGGCTACTCCTCTTCCTTGGCTCTAGCCCGGGGGGGCCCGTTGGCCAACCCAAGTTGGGCCCGGACCAGATACGACTACGGTGACCGGCTAGCAAGTGTGAAAAATTGGGGCCCTTTTTGGGCGGGAGGGGGGCATAGCTGCGTATATAAGACAAAGGCCCTGATATGGGGGTGTTTGGTTGCCCTCGACTTCCCCTCTCCCTGGGGGGTTTCCTGAGCCGGGACCAGTCCAATGATGGGGTGGGTCTCCCCCGTCCTCGCACCTCTTTCGATGCAGCTCCGGGGCGGCCCGGACCCGACAGATGCTCAGTTGGGGCAAATTGGCGTCACTCCGTTGGGGCCCTCGCTGGCCTTGGTGTAAATCTGGAGGACGACCGGTTGGGCGTCTGTGTTTTTACACCAGGGTGAGCGAGGGGGGGGAGCCAGACCCATGGGCGCCCATGGCGTTACTCCGGATTCACACTGGAGCCAGAGGAGACATGGCCTTTAGTCTGGATTTGGAGGTTCTCCTCTCGCTCTGGGGAAATTGGGAGCGCCCCCCTGTTTAGATGCTCCGTGGGAGCTCTGGGACTGGCTCACTTGGGGAAGGGAAGGAGGGTCTGGCCCAAGAGTTTCGGGTGGGGTGTGACTTTCATTGCACCACCAATAAGCCTCCCTGAGAAGTGAGGGTGGGTGGGTGTCCCCGCTGCCCCCTACTGGACAGGATGAGCCCGTGTGTGGGTGTGGGTGTGGTGTGGGTGTGTATACACAACTCCATCCCTTAGCCCCCATCACTCACCCCATTCAGGCTTTTAAGCTCTCACACTCCTGTCTTGGGTCGGCCCGGCCGCAGGGCCAGATCCTGAACTCAGGCCTGGTCATGCACTAGGAAATCAGGTGGGTAGAACTACCTCGCTCAGCGGTGTGAACCGGCCACCCCCCTGAGTGACCCTGGCCTGACCCCGGGTGTAGACAGAGCTACGGATTTCTCCCCTCGACCTAGCTGCCACCATTAAGTGTAGACGTGGCCTCAGTTTCTCTGCTGTGGACCTGGGCAGGAAATTAAGTCCCCCTCTCTGGACTCAGCTCCCACTCTGCCAGGCCAAGCCCTGGCCTCTGGCTCACCTTCTCCAGCAGGAGCTCACCTGAGAGCTTTCTCTTCCCCCAGCCCCAATCAGCCAGATCCATGTTAGGTGACTTTTGTCTTTTAAATCCCGCCTCCGGGGTTTTGTGTGGGGGTCAGGGAGAGGTTGAGTGACTCCTGGGATGGGGCACACAGAAATACATTGCTTGGCCGCGAGAACTGCTTCAGCTTTGGCATCCAGGGTCATTTTGCTGTTGATTTCAACTGGGTCACACCCAACTGGTGGGGCCTGGTTCTGATTTTAGTCACACCCTGGTGTAAATCCAGAGTCAGTCCACTTGAGTCAGAGGGGCTGATTCCCCTCTTGCTTACCACAGTGTAAATCCGGAATCAGTCCGCTTGAGTCACGGGGACTGATCCCCGTCTCACTCACCCCAGTGTAAGTCTGGAGTCAGTCCACTTGAGTCACTGGGGCTGATTCCTCTCTCACTTACCCTGGTGTAAATCCGGAGTCAGTCCACTTGAGTCACGGGGGCTGATCCCTGTCTCACTCACCCTGGTGTAAATCTGGAGTCAGTCCGCTTGAGTCACAGAGGCTGATTCCCCTCTCACTCCCCCCCCGGTGTAAATCCGGAGTCACTCCACTGGGGTTGGCCGGTTTACACGAGTAACAAACCATTGTCAGCAAGATCTCAGTGGGGTCTGTAGTGTATTTCCCTGAAGCCAGCACGCAGAACCCATTTACACCAGCTGAGGGTCTGGCCCTGTGTACGTTCCCCGTTTAAAACTGGCTTCCACGCAGGGCGTCAAATGCCGCTTATTTCACACACACCCCCCCACACACACCATGCAAAGCCCCTGCCTTAGCAGCCCCGGGGTGGGGTTTCTCAGTCTGGAGGGTGTTGGGTGTCCTGTCCCCGGGGGTTTGGGGATCAGAGGCCGCCCCGCTGCCCCCTTTGCGCCCCCCCTGCTTGATGCCTCGCTAATTAGCCCCCTTTGTCGTTGGCGGTTTTGGCAACGCACCACAGAGCCGGCGAGGCAAGAGGAGACCTTTCTGCGGAGGTACCAGAGCGGCTATCGGGAATGCCTGAGCCAGGCCACGCGCTTCCTCCACTCCAGCCCAGGCATCTGCGCGGGCAAGAAGGCCTACCTGATGGAGCGCATCTGCCACTCCATGGGAAAAATCACCCCCCGGGACCTGCCGACGGGCAGCCCCTCCTCCAACCCGGCCCACGGCCGGCACGCCCGCGACGCCTTGCCCCGCTGCAGCCCGCCGCTCGGGGACGCCGCCTGCGTCCTGCACCCTGCCCCGGCCTTGCCCGTTGGCCACAGACTGCAGACCCTCGCGGCCGGCCGGCCCCAGCTGGAGAACTGCCCCAAAGGCCCGCGGGACAAGCTGACCGGCTCACAGAACTCTGCTGGCCAGCCCCAGGGGCTCAATGTCTGGAGACCATGGCCATAGGGGCCAGGGACCCCTTGTAAATCCATAGAGTGTATATTAGATTCTCTATATATTGTATATGAGGAGGTTTATGGGGGTGGGATCTTTGGGGAGGGGTGTTTGGGGGGGGAAGGGGGGATGCGTGGTTATTGCAACTTCATAATATTTTTCTTGAAGGCCCAGCGAGGATGGGTTTTCCCTTCAAAAAGAAAAATCACCTGCCCAAAGCAGCCGGCGAATCAAGGTGCTGATTCCCCCCCGGCCGCCCCGTGATTTTTTTAAAGATGCTGTTATGGGTCGGTGAGAAACGGGGCGGGGGTTACGTCCCTTTTTTGTCTACCTCAGACCAAACCCTGAGAGTCCAGAGGCTTAGCCAGCTAACCCTAGACGTTAAAATAATATCCAAGAGCAAGATAACAGATCGAAAGCCAGAGCTGGGGGGGGGGGAGGGGAGAGGAGTGGGGGTATTCCCCCCCCATGTATATATATATTTCCTGCCCCCCATTCCCCATCTGTGTATTTCTGAAAAATAAAAATTCGAATGCGGACTCTGACAGATCTCGGCTCTCCGTGGCATCAAAACGGGTGGGGCCGAGGACATAGGGGCAAAAAGGGGGGTTGTGTTGCCCACTGAGTGGGCGTTGTGACTCTTTGCATGGGGCCTGCGTGGGATCTACTCTGCCCCCCAATTTCCCTGCTTGGAATCTACTCCCCCCACCCAGAGTCGGGTTTGCAATGGTGCCGTGGACCCGGGCCCATGCTCAGAAGGGGCCTCTGGCCTGCTCTGTTTGCGCTGTGCCCGGAGACCCTGCTCCCCCCTGCCCACCAATTACTCCTCTTGGCCTGCCCAGGGCTTCTCTCTGCACCCTGGCCCCACTCCCCTCCTCCTCTCAGCCCCCTGGCCGGACCCCAGTGCACCTCTGGCTCCGGGCAGTCTCCGCTTCCCACCACCTGTGGGCCCCCCCCCCGTCTCCCGGGGTGCAGAAGCCTGGCTAGTCTCGGCCAGTGGGGGGCGGATGGCACAGTGTGGGGGTCTTAGCTGGGTGCCTCCAGGCAAGTGGGTCTTGAGGGAGCCTCCCAGCGGGGCTGGTGAGTGCAGCCACGAGGCAGGGCATGGGGGAGGGGGTCTGTGGGGGGCGCTGGGCTGTGAGAGGGCGGGGAAGATGTGTGTGTTGGGGCATTAGGGAGGGGGGGGTTCTGTGTGGGGTGCTGGGCAGCTGTGGTGGGGCTGTGGGCAGGGGGGCACTGGGCCGAACTCTGTAGCTTGTTGAGGGGACGGGGAGGGATCTCTCTAGCAGACGCTGAAGGGAGACAATTGCCCTAATAATACCGAGCCCCAATAATATTGATCCCTAGCTGCATTCCACCCAGTGATCTCAAAGTGCTTCATGAAAGAGCCGGGGGACCATTGCCTTCCATATCACACAGGGGGAAACTGAGGCACGGGAGGTGTGAAATGACTTCCCCGCTGAAGAGTCAGGATTTCAACCTAGATCATGTGAGTTACAAGCCCGTGCGCTGCCTGCCAAGTCACGTTCACCGGGTCATTTTTCTTGGCCAAGGAGACCCTCCCGCCAGTGAGGCAAAGGGGTGAATTTACTGCCCCCCAACCTGTACCATTTTACACACACATCCGTGTATCCTGGGCTTCCTACCGCCTCCCCCCCCAGTGCACACACACACCCTGTGTGGATTTAAAAATTCCTTGCAATGGAGAATCCTCCCCAGTCCTTGCTAAATTGTCGCATCGTTAATGATGCTCCCTGTTAAAAACACACATCTCGTTTCCAACCTTAATTTGTCTAGCTTCAGCTTCCAGGCCATGTTTTTTGCTAGACTGAAGGGCCCATTATTAAATAGCTGCTCCCTGGGTACTTAAATTTCTGTTCCCTATGTGATGGCCATGTAAGAAAAGCAAGCTAGATTTTTTTTCAGGGGACATTGGAGAAGAAACATCAAGAAATCAGAAAGAGATGAGAGAGAGCTCTGGATGGCAGCCCCGAAGCCTGCCACTGACCCAGCAGCGCTGCAGCTGGCTGTCCCAGGCCACGTTAACTAAGGCCCTTCGTTTTCAGGTTGCACTGATCTTGACCGGAAAAAATCCCGGGTTTTACCATAGAATCATAGAATCATAGAATATCAGGGTTGGAAGGGACCTCAGGAGGTCATCTAGTCCAACCCCCTGCTCAAAGCAGGACCAATCCCCAATTAAATCATCCCAGCCAGGGCTTTGTCAAGCCTGACCTTAAAAACTTCTAAGGAAGGAGATTCCACCACCTCCCTAGGTAATGCATTCCAGAGTTTCACCACCCTCCTAGTGAAAATTTTTTTCCTAATATCCAACCTAAACCTCCCCCACTGCAACTTGAGACCATTACTCCTTGTCCTGTCATCTTCTACCACTGAGAATAGTCTACAACCATCCTCTCTGGAACCACCTCTCAGGTAGTTGAAAGCAGCTATCAAATCCCCCCTCATTCTTCTCTTCTGCAGGCTAAACAATCCCAGTTCCCTCAGCCTCTCCTCATAAGCCATGCGTTCCAGACCCCTAATCATCTTTGTTGCCCTTCGCTGGACTCTCTCCAATTTATCCACATCCTTCTTGTAGTGTGGGGCCCAAAACTGGACACAGTACTCCAGATGAGGCCTCACCAATGTCGAATAGAGGGGGACGATCAAGTCCCTCAATCTGCTCGCTATGCCCCTACTTATGCATCCCAAAATGCCATTGGCCTTCTTGGCAACAAGGGCACACTGCTGACTCATATCCAGCTTCTCGTCCACTGTCACCCCTAGGTCCTTTTCCGCAGAACTGCTGCCTAGCCATTCGGTCCCTAGTCTGTAGCTGTGCATTGGGTTCTTCCGTCCTAAGTGCAGGACCCTGCACTTATCCTTATTGAACCTCATCAGATTTCTTTTGGCCCAATCCTCCAATTTGTCTAGGTCCCCCTGTATCCTATCCCTACCTGCCACCGTATCTACCACTCCTCCTAGTTTAGTATCATCAGCAAATTTGCTGAGAGTGCAATCCACATCATCCTCCAGATCATTTATGAAGATATTGAACAAAACCAAAAGTATTATTCAGTATTTTCCTCGGTTTTGCCCCATTTTTGTACCGTTCAACTATATCAAAAAAGGAACTCGCTTTGCTAGGAAAATGCGACACACTGGCTACGACAGCTGTGTTACGGTTACATATCTCTGTGTGGAGGTGGTCTAGGAGATACACACAGTAAGCAAACCGGGGCAGGCTCCGAGGTAGCATTGTGGTTTGAGTTCTGTTTTCGTTCCGCAGGAAACCGCACTGGGCTCCGTTGGTGGAAGCATTAATCTACTTGCTGCTTTTCAGCCGCCAAAATAAACCTCGCTATTGACCCAGAGACGTTATTTTTAGCACTGATGTTTTTTGCTAGGAGTCTTTCTAAACACTTATAAATGCCCAGGAAAAAGTCAATAAAATAAAACCTGAAAACGAAGGGCCCTAAGCATAACATTGCAGCCCAGTTGTGTGCAGGGAAAACCCCTTCTTCTTAATGTCACGAAGCCACCAGTATGGCCCACAGCAATTCCAACTACAGCTTGGCAAGCCCAGGGATCCCGGCAGGGGCATCTTTGCACCCGAGAAAGAATCCGGGATTCCCAGTGGGTCGGGGAGAGTGGTGTTACTCAGGAGTGGTGCATGAACCCCTCCGTTTGGGGAAGCTTGGACTAGATGCCTCCTGAGGTCCCTTCCAACCCTGATCTTCTGTGGTTCTATGATTCTGTTATTTAACCCATCCCTGACAGGTGTTTGTCCAGCCTGCTCTTAAAAATCCCCAACGATGGAGAGCCCACCACCTCCCTGGGCAATTTATTCCAGCACTTAACCACCCTGACAGGACATTTTCCCTAAACTGCCCTGGCTGTGATTTAAGCCCCTTGCTTCTTGTCCTGTCCTCAGAGGTTAATTTGTCACCCTCCTCCTTGTACCAACCTTTTATGGGGTTGAATGGGGTGGCCAAGTTTCCAGGGGTGGAGGGGCGAAAAGCCAAGCAAGAGGGAGAGAAAACTAAGAAATGCTAAGAAAGGAAGAGAAATAAGACCAAACAAAAACCTGGGAAAGAAGGAAAGACAGACAAAAAACAAGGACAAGAAAGAAAGAAAGATGCAAGAGGAAAACAGGAAAAAAAGAAGAAGGAAAATAGAGAAAGAAGGCAAAAATTGAAAGAGGGGGAAAGATGGAAGCTAAAAGTTTGCGCTTGCATTGGCCGGGAATCGAACCCGGGCCTCCCGCGTGGCAGGCGAGAATTCTACCACTGAACCACCAATGCTGCTGCTGGCTGATCCCTCAGCCCTGCAGTTTTCACAGCTATTGTAACATTCATCCAGTGTAATTTCTGCTTCCTTTGCACACGTGCCAGGGCACGCTGGGGTCGTGCAAGCAGGCTCCCTCCTCCTCCCTTGCCCAGCTGACTTTACAAAGCTCCTGCCAGCTTCCACCATCTGGGCCCCATCTGCTTGGGTCTAGTCCAGAAATTCCACTTCCCCCCGGGTCATTGTCTTCTCCCCAGGGAGGCAAAGGCATCTTTGCACTAGACTGGGGATGCTGGTGTCCCTGGTATCAGCTTTGTTGGAATCAAGTTTTCCTAGAGAGGGAGATTTTAGGCCTCTTCCTGTGCATTTTGTCACTAGTTGGGGTCTTTTTCTTTCTTCCCCCAAACCCATGTCCCCCTGGCCTTCTCATGCCTCCAGATAACGACACCAGGAGACAGCACCAGCTTTCACCAGTAGAGAGAATCCAGGGGGGACCAATGCCCCACTTCAAGTTTCTACAGCCAGACCCTGTGGGCCCAAGTTGGAGGGGGTATCTCTGGAGGGGATATTCGGGTAGGGCAGGGCCCTATTCCTGTGGGGTGAGCCTGGGCACCCTACACACAGACACTCTCAGCTAATCTTTGCAACCCCCCATCCCGGGAACTCCAGCAGCAGTTTCCCGATTTCCCCCCACCCCAGCCCCCAGCCCAGCGGTGGGAGCCTGGGAACGCCTACCAGGGGTGTGTGTGTCAATTCCCCTCCTCTCATCCAGCTGATGAAAGTGA